TATAGAAGACACAAGAATTCCACAAAAGTCTTCCAGACTTAATAAACAAATTCAGTAGAGTAGCCAGGTACAAGATCAATATACAAAACTCAATAGCCTTCCTGTATACGAACAAAAGACTCACTGAAAGAGCAACTGGAGAAACAACTCCTTTCATAATAGCATCCCAAAAAATGAAATACATATGAATCAATTGAACAAAAGAAATCAACTCTACTCTGAAAACTAGAGCACTCTGTAAAAAGAGATCAAAGAGGATATCAGAAAAAGGAAAGCATCACTTGCACCTAGATAGGAAGAACCAATATAGTGAAGATGACCATATTTCTAAAATTGCTATATAGATTCAGTGCAATCCCAGTTGAAATTGTAATAGCATACTTCATAGACCTTGAGAAAATAATCTAAAAATTCATTGGGATAAAGAAGAGAACTAGATTAGCGAAAGCAATTCTAGGCAACAAATACAAGGTAGGGGATATCACAATCCCTAACTTGAAATTATACCACAAAGCCACTGTGATAAAAACAGCACGGTACTAGCAAAGAAACAGACCAAAGGATCAGTGGAAGAGATGAGAAGATGAAGAAACAACTCCAGACACATTCAGGAACCTCATTTTTGACAAAGGAGCCAATAACCCTCACTGGAGGAAAGATAGCCTCTTTAATAAATGGTGCTGTAAAAATTGGGTTTCAACTTGCCAAAGATTAAAACTAGACCTATATATCTCACCAGGCACTAAACAAAAATTAAAATGGATTAAAAACCTAAATATTAAAACAGAAATATTAAACTTGCTGGAAGAGAACCTAGTTAGTCTTGAAGGCACTTACATAGGAAAAGATTTCAAATCAAAGTCTTTTTAAATAGCGAGGTTAGAGGGGTTGAAGGGAGAGCAGGGGAATGGGAAAAAATAAGAACCAAGACATATCATGTAAAAGCACAAATTCCCAATAATGAAAGTCATTATACTATATACCTGAAATATATCAATATACTCAATGAATTAAAAAAAATAAAGTTACAAAAAAATCTTTTCCTGGTTAAATTCCTAAAATTTTGTTGGTGGTCAACAGCAACAAACTTTTACAAAGACAACAAATGACTCATTCATCCACTGAAGTGAACTATCAGTATTATTTGGTCTTCTGCTCCAGTCTCCCCTCCTGTAAGAGCAACTGTAACTCTAGCTAATTAGCTAGTAGCAAGTAGCAGCAGAGACTTTTACCTGTTTTTGTGAAAAGAGCTTTCTATAAATGAAGTACTTTTCGCAGACACCCTCAGATTTATACAATGACAGAGCATCTTTCACCATAATGAAGTCCCAGCCCGATGCCCCAATTAGGAGAGCAAATAGGACACAGAACACCCTGTTGACATGGAAGGTTATATTCTAATCAGACCTAGAAAGATTTTTTTATTTTTTATTTATTTGGAAATTTTTTTTGTTAAAAACTGGTGTTTCTTGAGTAAAAGGAGCCAGTCAATCAGCAAGGAGATATAGGAAGGTTTAGTACTTCTACACTCACACATGTTCTGAAGTTTTCCCAGTTTTTAAAAAATCTTTAAAATAACCCTCTTTTTTCATGACCTCCATACTTTGCCTTCTCTAGAACTTGACAGTAAAGATATAAGAAATAAGATATGTTTTTATTTTAAAGGACGTTTCCCTTATTGTAAAGTAATACTTGCAAAAGAAGCACAAAAAGGAACTAAAATAACATTCATAAACCTACAGATATTTTAATTATAAACCATATATATATACAGATATATATGTATAAATTTCAGATGGAATAGAGAACTACAGATAAACTCCCAAATTATGGCAGCAACAGAAGAAAATATGAGAATCTAGAGTGTAAAAAGTCCTTCCTAGGATAAGAAATCTAGCACTCATATAAGAAATGAATGACAGATCTGACTAAATAGAAATTTCAAAATTTAATTTGAAAAAATAAAACATATAAAACTTTAAAGCAAATGGCAGACTGAGAGAATATTTGAAATACAGAAAGCTAACAAATCCAGAATAATGAAAGTCAATAAGTAAGCTTTTTATACAGATGGGATAAGCAACTTAAAAATAAAATAGGCTATTCACTGGAGAAATCCAATTAAACTAAAATTGGGTTGCAAAGATTCTACAGTAATAGAAAAATATAAAAGCAAAACTTGAATACTATTAAATAATTTAAATAATTTCTATTACACTGGATATCAAATACAAAGATTAATAAGACTTTTGGGAAGAAATTATATATGAACAATCATACATAGATATTGAGAGTGTAAATTAATACAACTTTTTGAGGAGTAACTTGGCAGTACTTGCCAAGATTGAAACCAATCGTAATCTGACTAACAATTCCTCATAAATACTTGCAATAGTGTCTTGAGGTGCTCATCAATGCCTTATTTTTCATTGTAAAATCTGTATGCAACCTAAATGTGTACAAATAAAGATTAAATAAACCACGCCACACATATGCAATTGCAAACTACTAAAGTATTAGAAATCATATCACTGAAAGCTCTAAAATGTTCGTCATCACTGTTGAGACAGAAGGAAGGTACAAGATAATGTGTACGATTTTCAATTTTTGTAAAATAAAAAACCAGAAGTGTATAATGTGTACGATTTTCAATTTTTGTAAAATAAAAAAACAGACGTGTATGTGTTGTTTTCTAACACAGAGAAAAATTTATAAAAACACATAGCAGACTATTAATAATGGTTATTCTCAGAGAGTAAAACAAACTTAAGAATTACATATGTTCTTTTTTAATTGGTAAATTTTAGATATACAATACATTGACATTCATTATTGGGAGTTTGTACCTTTACATAATATATCTTGGTTCTTATTTTTTGCCACGTGTTCTTTTTAAAGTTTAAATATTTTCATATTGTTTGAGCATATATAATATTTATAATTTTGAAGATTAAAAATTAGTTAATATAATCATTTTTCAGGGCCACCAAAATTTCAATAATCAGTGTTTTTAATGTGAGTTTGGTATTATATTGTACTTGGGTTTCTTATATAACCAATCTCCTATGGATTGATTTTCCACTATTTCTAACTTCTCACAGTCTCATTGCTGAGACAAAATTACCCAAAACCCAAAGTTAAAGGAGCAAAGGTTTATTTAGCTCACAGTTTGTTGAGGGTTCAATCCAAAACTGGTAGGCTCTAAGGCAAGGCAGCATCACAGGGGAAAAACAGTTCATGGTGGACAGAAAGTAGCAAAACAAGCAAAAGAAGACCACAGCTCTTTCTATCCCTTATCCTTTCCAGGCTACTTAGGTGGGTAGCACCTATACCCTTAATCCTAGTGCCTTTTAGCCTAGCACTGAACCATGAAACAATCCCAGTGTCACACACTCTAGATTCAGCCACCTCTGAAAAAGGCCCACTATGACTGCATGAGGGTTTGGGTGGACATCTAGACATGAGCCAAAACAATCATCTGATTATAATCCTGAAATATTAGACTTGAACTGGTACCTTAGGCCAACTGTTATATAATCGCTTTGATATCAACTGAATATTAAACTGTCTTGGAACATATTCATAAGCACCAAGAAACATTACAAAATATTAATTTTGGTTCATAAATATTTTTAAGTCATATCTTTGGTTTGTCAACAAAACCTCTAGGTTTCATGTTCATCTCTTTATAAATATGGCAGGCCTCCTAGAAGAAGAGATGGTCTAAAGAAAGTTACAAGCTTCCCTCCTGAGCTATCAATAATAGGCCATAAGGCAAGTTTCTTTCTGAAAGGAGCGATTTTCAAACCCCACTGAGTTTAAACTGAGCTGAAAATGGATATACATTCATCCCTTTTATTTCACATGCATTCACATCAAGGAAGACTGCTGGAAGAGGAAGGCTTTGAGCTGCACTACAAGTGGAAGGAGAAGGAAGTAGTGTGAAGAACACAAGGGTGAGGCTAACTCAACCTTCCTTTCTGAGAATGTGCCCTGCTGTTTCCTTTTGTGTCCCAATCATACCAAATATCATTATAGGTCATGCTTAAAAATATAATTAAAAGCATTACTTTTCCCAAGAAGAAAACTTCATTTCACTATGTAAACTATAGTGGGAAAGAAATGCACTTAAAAATGGAATAGGCTTGGTGCCATACTCCTTGTCAGCAAGCTTTCTTCTAATATATTTAGCTTACGCTGATAAAGGAGATAAATGTTTAAATGATGGGCTTCAGATGCTGCTGCTGTGGCTCCTACCAAGCTCCTTCTCATGAATAAGTTCAGTGGAGCAGAGAATGGCCCTCTTGGACCAATTCCACTTTGTGCTTCTTTTTGATGCAGCTATAATGGGGAACTAGAGCTCTGGTTTTTCCTTTCAATTTAAAGCAAGTCATCTACCTCAGAGGGAGCTGCAAGTGGGGTAGGGATTACTGACTTTCTAGAAATACACCCTGAGTTTTCAGGGACATTCCTTTCAATAAATGGCATCCAATTTGTTGACAGTCCCTGAAATCTCAATTTCCCCAAAGGATTTTTCATGTGAAACCAGTTCATGTAAAGGTTTCTTCCTTCTTCATTTTTTGGCATACGGAAATAGGCAGAGGCTGCTTTACTTTTTCTTTTCTTTTTCATAAACTAAAAACCTTTGTGGAAAAGTAAATTTGGAAAAAAAATCCAGCTCATTTCTCAGATATTTTCTAGAGTTATGAAAATCAGAATAAATTTATACAGTTTAGCACGAAGCAAGAAAACTGGACTAATGTCTCATGTGTTCTATGAGATAAGAACTATATGACAATCAGAAAAACAGTCCCAAATTTAATTTGTCCCATTCAAAGCTCTCATTTTTTTATCAATTCATGCATAAACCAGTAACTTTCACTTTCTTCTCATAGAATAATGACAGCCACATTTTGGGCTAAATCATAATCTCTACAGTTTAAAACCACATTTTCAAAGAAATTATAAGAAGTATATTTTTTAAAATTCAACACACTTACGTTTTACTTGCTCTGTTTTGCTTCCTTCTAGGAAAAGAAAGAAAAACAACAAGGAAAAGATGTATTTCATGCCTCCCATTTTCCACTTTTTCCTCACTGGGACCACTGCAAAATCCAACTCTGAACCTCCAAGGTGTAGTGTACTCAAACTGTTGGGAAGAAAACAGAAAAAAAAAGACTTAAAACAAATCCCCTGGCACTTGTGGAGATCACTGATGCTTAGGTTTCCAACTTGCTGGGGAAAAAAATGCTGGAGAATTTACATAAGTGCAACCATTGTTTGTATGCATAAGAAAAAAGACTGGTCTCTCTTGTCATGCAAACACTGTGGGAGAAAATTCAAGTGTATGAACATGCATTTCTATTTAAAACCTAAATTCCTATAAGTAAGTCAGGAGAAAATAAAAATAAAATTTGAAATTCTCCTTTCAAAGGGAATTGATTTCCTCAAGAGATTTGTGGGAAAGAAAAGAGATCAGAGTTTTTGAAAGGGCTATTCTGGCAAACAAGGTAAAAGAGAGCTCAAACAATTTCATAAATGAAAGTTAACTAATCTTAGCTTCAAAGCTACTGTTATAATTAATCCTTCAGGAATTAAGTGCAGATTGATTAATGTTTTTTTTCTGGTCCTCAATGAGATCTATAAGGATGTCCAGTTTGGCTACTTCTATTTGAAACAAAACAGATGCAATTAGCAAATGGATGCAATTCAATACCTGAGAAGTTTTATTGCTTAGAATGGTTCAGACATATTCTTATCCCATAAAGTCCCATGTGACATGAGAATTTTAAATGGGCCATTTTAAGGGGAGTTAGGCAAATTTAAACAAAATTTGTTCACTTGCATCACCATCAAAAAGGCCATTAAAGCAACAGAAATTCATTAAAACATGAGATTGCCATTTCCATTCCAAAGTATAGAAATCTAAAGCCTTTTGTGCCTTAGAAATCAGAAAGTTTGCTGTAGCACATTTTTAATCACGAGTCATCTCCACAGACTTAGAGTTTGGGGGACTCTTCCAATAGGAGATTAGAAAAATTTAAATAGTTTAGAAACACAAATTTCAACCTGGAGTTAACCTTGGACAGTAACTGAACTCAAAGATATTTTTCGGAAGTTCAACCTAAATACAGAGCATAAAGAATGCTCATTGGGAGAATTTAATTTCTTAATGCCATATTTCCTACTGTAAATGCTATGAAGTTGCTGGGAAAATTCAAAATCCATTGTTTCAGATTATGAATGTGCAACCAGGACAAACTGATCATAGAGAATAATTTGTGCTATCGGGCAGGATTTACAGCACTTATCTGCCTTCTTTCTCTACCTTTTTTCTGATCCTTATAAAAGGATCTAATTCTCTTGGGACATGTTCCTAGCCTTCCAAAGATCTTGGTACTGGTGTCTCGATCTCATCTCTGAGTTATGGTCTACTATCAGTTACTCAGATCATCTCTGTACCCTGAGAGCTTAGGCTTTCCTTGAAGCAAGACATTTTCATTAATCGTTTAACAGTGAGGTTCTTTCTGAGCCTACTAAAATAAGCTTATCTCCCAAGACTACAAAAGAGACAGATTTTTAACCACTGAAATCCAGCTTATCACAATCATATAAGGGTCTCGGGGGAGTTTCTGAAACCATGGCTTTTGGTTCTCTACCCATGCAAGAACTAACAGGGTTGTTTTTCTTGTACAATGGTTGAGTGATTCAGTGAACAGTAGCACTGCTTCATAACTCAAGCTGGCAAGAAAATGGTCCTTAGAATTTTTTGCTTTGCTTGGGTCCCAACTAATGTTATGAGCAAATAGAAAAGTTGGTGACTAGAGAGCAATTAATCTCATGCCATTCCTGTCATCTGTGTGGCCTCCCAGGCAGGGATGGAGAATATCAAAAAATGAACTGCTTTATAAATACTCACTTTTGATTTGCAAGATCTTGAAGTTCTACCTTTGTATTCTGTGCAGAAATATGAAATGAGAAGGATTCCTTCACCAGATCTTGCCACTTTTCAATTTTTCTTTATCCCTTTAAACTTTTTATTGGGGGTAGGGGGAGCTCAAGACATTTGTTGGGACTGCAGCAGAGAATAAGCAAACATTGCTCAGCAAACATCCGACACTTATTCTTGCAAAGAACCAAACTGTCCTTTATTTTTCAAATTATACTTTGACCCAGTTAACTGGAGTTATCTATGCATTAACTCTCTGTCTGCTTCACACAGGCGGTCTTGCCATGGAACTTGCACTAGCTCTTTTACAAGTTACTTATAAATGTAGCCATTGACATGTTTTGGTGGGATCTAGGAACCAATAAGAAAGCAACAAAGAAAACAAAACTTTTCAACTAACACTGGGGGTGAGAGTGGGAAGAGAGGGTGTAGAGCTTTAACAAGAGAACAAGAAATGTGTCAGAAACCAAGAAAAGGGTACAGTAGTGATTAAGGTGCCTCCAGGAAACAAAAATTCACACTGTATATTTAGCTGAGATTGCTTCTTGCTCTGGCTGTAAATGAAAGACAATCCAGGCCAACAAGTGCCAGAAGCTCACACTTGGGACAGTTTTCCAAAGGAATATGAAGGAATCAATGTATCCAGTTCTTCACGTCCCACAGTGTCTCTTCAATCCTCCAGAGAGGCTTGACTAACCTTGTAATCTCACATTCACTATCATCTGTGGGGCAGCCTCTAGGGTAGCAATTTTCTTTCTGACAAACACTTCAGGAAGACACTAGAGACTCAGGTTATTGTCTCTCATTTGAAATCCTCTCCCTACATTGCTACCAAATAAGAAAAGGTCCTCTAACTCTTGTTGGGATGCCACTCGAAAAAAAAAATGGCACTTTTAGCCCATGGTATCTTTTGTTGGAGGCAATGCCTTCATTGTTGCTTATCATTGACAAACAGTGCCTTGAATTTGCCTTACAAAACACTTTTCTATCATTTCATTTGATTTCACACAACTCCACCTTCAAAAGGGGCCTGGGTGGCAGTGGGAAGAACTCAAATGAATAGAATTGGTAAGGCTGAGAGGGACTGGAAGGCAGCTTTTCTAGGCAATATCACTTTGCTTCCTCAGTCTAGTGTCTCAGACTCTGAACCCAGTGGTCTGGGCCAGAAAATGAGGCAGTCCAGAGGATAGGACCCTTTTGTCCATCCACTGTCTTCCTTTAACTTTAGGGGCCAGTAATCAGTCACTGCTCCAGGGCACATTAGTAAATGAGAAAAAAGTCTCTTGGACTCTTGTGTTAATTAAAGAGACTGCAGAATGGACTAGGTATCCTCGGGGAGTATCCGACGGGCTCCTGGAAGGACCAAAGAACATGTAGAAATGTAGGCCAAGCAGGAAATAGCTAGCTGTGAGTTCGAATCCACAGATCTCCAACCTGCCTCAATGGGCTGCCTTGGACCCCACCTGCATCTCAACCGCTGGAAGCTAGACCACAGAACTGATTGGGATGACAGGTCTGAGAGTTCAAGGTGCCCTAAGGGAATTCCAGGGATGGCTGCAGCCCACAGAAAGCACACCAGCTGTGCAAGGGCTCTAAAGGAAGGTGGAAGGGGCAGGCGCAGGTACTGCTCACTGACCTGGGTGCTGGTCTTCTCCGTCACGCGTCCACGCGCTCTGGGCTTCCCGGGGCACTCCTCAGAGGTCTGGGGTTTGCAGGTTGTGGCGAGAGCTACAGTGAGCGGGGGCGGGGGGGG